CCCACCCCCCACCCCCACCACCACCCCCCCCACCCCCCCCCCCCCCCCTCCTTATTTCTGAAATGAAATTTCAAAATAATATTTGCTTTTTGAAAATGACTTTTAATATGTATAGCCGCTCTATCCTAATAATCACAGTCGTTAGCTGAATATATATCGATTATTTCAAGTAGAGTAACTATTTTTGAAGCACCCTCGATTCAAATTTAGATATACAGAAAAAATAAAATAGTGAAGTAAATATGATAACTAATAAGAAAAAGAGTGCAATATTTACAAGAAAGCAATAAGAACATCAACATAATAATGCAGTAACTGAAACACAATAAACAAATGATAATACAAGAAAACTATAAAAATATGCAGTAATTATGTATAAAAATATTCAGTAATTATGTATATATCAATATACAAAATGTATATAACCTTTTTATTGTTATTTTGATGGAGCGACATCGACTATATAGTAATTTCTCCGTCTCAATTCATGTGGCACAATTGATATTGAGAGTTAATAAAATATTGAATAAATTTAAAAAATACTTCTTACATATTTTAAATTATTTATTAGTGTGATTTATAATACTTTAATATAATTTTTAAATACATAAATTTTATTTAAGAAACTTACAGCTAATATATCAAAATTCACAAGTAAAATTTAAAAATTTATAACTCAATTATATCAGTAAATTAAGGCGAAATGTATATAAATTAATCTATAATCAAGTTACGACATTTTATCAGTCAAAAAGTATCAAAAGCATGTGATGTCACCAAAATGGTGAAGTTCATTTGGCATACTATAACTTGAAAAATGTATAATTTAACTAAGCTGGTATATTTGTTACTCCCGTCCCAATTTACTATTGGGTGTGTTTGATACTGTAGAAAATATTTTTTGTATATTATCTAATTTTTAAAATAATGATTTTATTGAAGATCATTATAAAAAAAAAAGGCTTTTATAATAGCTAACATGATTATAAACTACGACTATTTTGATAATTTGTGTTTTATAAATATGTAATTGCATCATTAAATTAGTAAAACTTAACTAATCATCCAACAAATTGTGTGTTTAATTAAATTCTTCTGAAACACAGATGATGTGAGGGTCCATGCATGTTTCATTTACCCAAAAAAGCTTCATAAGCTATGTTACTGACGTATTGGAGTGGTAATTACTCATGTCTTGGATTCGAGTTTCCTTAGATATAGAATCGTTTTTGTCAAACTCCTTTGTTGATACCCAATACCAGGTGAAAAACAAGAAAAAAAACCAAAATTTTGATGACATTTATTTTTCCTTTTAATTACTCTAATATTCTTTTCAAACTTTTGTTCCCCACAAATCCTAAATCTTTTCACTTTTTTACCACAGCAAAATTTGGTTGTAATCTAAAGCATATCTTGTCTTTCCTTTAAACAGTGTATTCCTTGCACTTTATAAACAATGCAACCCCATTTCCCTTTCAATTCTTAAAGCATACCCCACTTTTACACAACCCCTCTTCCTCCTTTGCTTCAAGCTCTGAACAATTTGCTCAAAGTTCAGAGCTTTATAAGGTACAAACTTCATACTGGTATGCTGCTTCACTTACCCTTTTTCATCCATTTCCATACATATCTCAGTTGTTTCAGTACCACAAAGTGGAATCTTGAAAGGGGGGGGGGGAATGTGTGGTCTTTTTGACTAAAGGGTGTTTAAAGATACAATCTTTATTGTGTTTTCTTGATTGTGCTGAAAAATGAGGGATTTCCCATCTTGTTTTGGTGAAAATGGGGTTCAAGTTGCTGATGCTTCTTGTTCAAGTGTTGTTGGTGTGAGTAAAACCCCACAGAATTTAGTAACCTGTGTCTATCAGTGTAAATTACTGGGGAAATCTTGTTTGATTACAGTTGTTTGGACTAAAAGTTTGATGGGTCAATGCCTTAGTGTTGAAATTGATGATATGTCTCATCAATGTCTTTGTAAAGTTGATGTAAAGCCTTCTCTTTTCTCTAAAAGAAAAGGGTCTAGGTCTTTAGAAGTTAATGCTTGTAAAATTGACATCCATTGGGACTTTTCTCTGGCAAAATTTGGATCTGGGCCAGAGCCTGTTGAAGGTTACTATTTAGCAGTAGTGTGTAAAGGCCAGATGGTTTTGGCTATTGGGGATCTGAGGAAAGAAGCATTTAAGAAGAGTAATGCAACTCCCTCTCTTTCAAATGCAATATTTATTTCCAAGAGGGAACACATATTTGGAAAGAGGGTATTTGGTACTAAGGCTCAATTTTGTTATACTGGTCCAATTCATGATATTACAATTGAGTGTGACTCTAGTGTCATTGATGATCCTTGCCTTTTGGTACGTATCGATTCGAAAACTGTAATGCAAGTGAAGCACTTGCGATGGAAGTTTCGCGGTAACTATACTGTTTTAATTGATGGACTCCCTGTTGAAGTGTTTTGGGATGTTCATAATTGGTTGTTCAGTAGCAATTTTGGGAATGCAGTGTTCATGTTTCAAACTTGTTTGTCATCTGAGAAGTTGTGGAATACACAAACCTTGTCTGATCTCTCTGTGATGCCTTGGCCTTATACAGAGAGTACTTTGAGCAATTCAAAATCACCTGGTTTGGGTTTTTCTTTGGTTTTGTATGTTTGGAAGAACGATTAGTTGAGTGTTCTTCTAGTATTTCCCAAAAAAGATTAATTTTTTAAGATCTTGTTTGTGAACTTGATTTGAGTTATTTCTAATGAATATACTTTTTTCTTGTTACTTCCTTTTTCATCTCTTCATGTGCTATGATTATTACTTGAATCTTACGTTTCGTTTTATTCCTTTAAAGAGTCAATTTCTTTTGATTACTGGTTGTTATCTACTATTATGAATAATAATTGTGTCCATAAAGTGGAACTTTCCTTCGAGTATATGCAAACATCATTAGAGACAATCAAACTCATCATAATGGTAGTGTTTAACATCATAGCTTTGGATAAGTAAAGGTTCCATTTTTGTATGGTAAAATGTGAAATGTATTAGTAAATCTTCAGACTTTGCATGTAATATGTAAAATGATTCCAAAAAAACTGGATAAAACACCGGTAAGCAAGTCCTGCGGAGTTCCAAACTTAGAAGGTTTGTGTTCTACATTGAATCATCCCCATGGAAGCTGAGAACTCTTGTGATAAACTACTTTGGGGCTGATTTTGAACTTCTTACTATAACTTGCTGTGAGATTAAGAACATGAAAACTGGGAACGTGCATACTTTGGCACGTTGAGTACTAGTTGGCCTGCTATTAGATCTACAGATGCAAGAAATGATATTTGCTTTTGTCGGCTAAGTGCAGAGATTTGAAAGTATTGAGGTACCACTGAAATGGAATGCTATCCGTAATCATAGATTTCACTGAAGTACATGCTTGAGTTGAGTAGTTGCATACATTTCTTGAAGGCAATTGCTATGCAATCTTGTGTTGGCGAACATATTTCACCATTCATTTCTTCGTTTTGTTAATTTCAATTCATTGGTGATTTTCGGGTGGAGATCATTTGTCACCAGCCATTTGGTTTTGTCCTCTGGCAATAATAACATAATTGAAGGTCTTCAGCTGTTCTAAGACGTTTTCTTTCCATGTGTTACCTCTATTCTGTGTGAGAAACTTAATGGTGAAGATCGAGTCTTGAATCATTGATCATCTCTACTCCAAACATTCAGCCATGAAGTATATGTAATCTTATATGCTGTCTCATTAACTTCTCTGATATGCAATTTCATACAATTTGAGTATCTGGTGGATATGTTGTCTCTCTAACTGGTTTTACTTGTTTAGGCCTTTTAAGGGTTTCTCATGGCCTCAGCAGTAAATTTTGTTTGGAATATTTGAGCAGCTGCAGTTGATTTTTTCATTTCCCCTTTCTATTGCTGGCTTTTAGGTTTCTTTTGCTGTCTTTTAAGGCTACCACCAATGTTGTCAAAGGCGCGCTTAAGCCCTGAAACGAGGCTGTGCAGTTTAGTGTCGATATCAAATACTTTTTTGTCAAACAATTAATATGTTTGTTCATATGTTCGTGCCTATAATTACTAGTATTGCACTATATATAAATATATATTATGCATTATTTTTATCCCTTCACGTCTTTTTTCATGAAAATCCACATTTTATTTACACCGTGTGTTTAAAGCCCCAATTTTAGGGATTTTTTGCGCTTTTTGTTTTTGATAACACTGCTCAGCACTCATCCAATAATACCTGGAGGATGACTTTTCCTAAACTTTTATAAATCTTTGCACCTCCACTTATAAAAGGTTGCACTAGTTTGTCTTGTCTCATTACAAGTGCTGTGGCTCTAGACAGCTAACTTTACATGAAAGATTTCTGCATTTGCACTAGCAAAAAAGAAGAAAAAAGGTAGCTTACAGCATTTGATTCAGGAGCATGAGCACCCGGACAATAGGTAAAAACTTACCCGCACCTGATGCCAACGTAATGTGTGGCTCGACTCACAGAAAGAAGTATCTCAATTTACAAACATTGTATTTAAACTAACGACATAACATTTAGACTTAAACAAAGACATGTGATCAGATTACATAAAAAGCCAACAAATAACTGATAGATGATTTTGAAACAGAGGATACATTGGAAATATGAAACTCTAAATATCTTGAGACAAAGTTACAACAGTTGCTATAACTATTATTCTCAACACTCACAACCAAGATTATTCTCCGGCAAATATAAAACTAGACACATATTTACATGAAATAGTTGGCACATTTTTCACTACTTACAACACCTAATATGTCTCTTTTACTTTATTATCTATTCAGCAATCTCAATGCTGTATTTTCTTTACTGTTACCAAATCTAAAGTAGAGCCATACATTTTATGCAGAGCTTGAGCAGACCAGCCATGTCCATCATCAACTGTAGGCATCCTAACTTCCATGAAAGGCATAGGAGCATGCTGAGTCCCGCGCACCATTACGCCAGCAAAGACTCTCAGGACATTGGAAGCATCAATGTCCATGCACACACTAATCTCTGGAACACCTTTTGGTGCTGGAGGTATTCCTCTGATCTTAAAATAGCCTAGGAGATGATTGTCTTCTGCTGCTTTCTCGTCACCTTCGTAAACAAGGATCAATGCTTCAGCTTGGTTATCATGGACAGTAGTGAAAATCAGTTCTTTCCTTACTGGTGTTGTGGTGTTCTGATGAATAACTGGTACAAAGTCACTTCCATCAGCTTGAATGCCAATGCTTAAAGGAGTTGCTTGGATGGTTAACAGGTCCAAATTTCCAAATGGATCACTAATTCCCGAAGCTACTGCTCCTTCCAGCGCTGCACCACGTACAGCTGCCTCCAGCGGGTTCATTCCTGAATAAAGCTCTTCTCTTTTGCATATACTCATGACAATGTTCCGAACCTTTGGAATGTAGGAACAGCCACCAACAATTATGACATCATGTACATCTTCTGCTTCTAGTTTAGCAGCTTGCAAGCAACGCTTTATCAGAGCTTCACATTTCTCGAAGACTTGTTTGTTCACCTCTTCAAACTCTGCCCTCGTGAGAACCTTAGATAATTTTGTTCCATTTCCCAAGTCGACATCAATCGGGACACTCATATTGAATGAGAGTAAGTGGATAGCATCCTGGGTGGCAACTCGAAGCAATCCCATTCTCTTTATTTCTTCAATTCCATGGCTTGAGAATAGATCATCCATGTTTGGTAAGAGGTAATGCATCAGATTTTGAAGTAGATCCTCACCTCCAACCGTGCTGCCAGCCAAGGCCTTGATCTGCGAAACACCACCTGCTGTAGCTGTTATAGCTACGTCACAATACCCCGCACCCATATTGAATATAAGAGCTATCTTTTCACTCCCGCTACCCATATTTTCATGTCCAGACTGCTGTTGCTGCTGAGCATATAACAGAGCAACTGCAGTTGGTTCAGGCATCAATCTTAGAACATGAAGCCCTGCCATGGCACAGGCTCGTTCGATTCGGGTCAACTGGAATCGGCTAAATGATACCGGAACTGTCAAAACCACATTCCTCACTGGACGTTTCAGTTTAACTTCAGCCATAGCTCTTAGTTCAACTAGAAAGATGGCAAGAACTTCTTCAGGCGTAGTGGACCTCCACATATTGTTCACTAAGGCAGCAATAAATGGCCTGACACCGATATTTAAAGTTTCAACCAAAAAGGGGAGGCTCTTGCTGGCATGAACCACCGGATCTGTATCGACTCTACCAATCAGACGTTTCATGTTGAAGATTGCAGCTCCAGACAACATGTCATATTCGTGAGCCAGTTCATCACTAACACCACCAGCAGGAACCTCATCTTTGAAGGTGACATATGATCTCATCAATTTCCGATTTCTCGTGTTTCTGACGAGCTCCACCTGAGATCCATTCCAAACTGCCACACTGCATTGCGATGTACCAATGTCGATCCCAATTGCTATCTCAGGGAAAGCCGATGAAGTTTTTTCCTCCCCGGTTGTTTCACTATCAGATACCACAGTATATGCTTGTTCAGCCATGAATACAGATTAAAGAACTCCTGCATTAACAATATATACACATTCGCTGATTCAATTATTCGAAAAGCAATATCACATTTCATCCGTTCCATACGATAATCACATAGCATATATCATGTTAGTCAGAGAGACTCATGAGACTATCTAGGGTCCACAGATAACTCACAGCTGAAGCTTAATGACCCTGCTTACTCTAGACTATAACTTTTAAGACAAGCATAAAAAAAAACATCTTGAATCATTAAATATAACAGCACAATAAGCTCTTGAGGTCTCAGGTTCAAATCCTAATAGAGGTAAAAATAACTAAGTGAAATTTCTTTCAGTCTGTCCAAGCCTTGGTGAACAGAGTTATCCGCATAAACTGCTTCATAATAACTGAGAGTTGTCCTTTCATATAACACAATTGCCTCTATTGTTCACAATTTCTCATGCTTGATTACCAACTTTTGACCTAATCTTGCAGTCTAACACAAAGGCATTTCCTACATAGTTTACTCTTCAGTTACAAATTTCGAAAAATATGCACAACTTAACTGGCTGATATACATTCAAGAATTGGACAACTTCATATCCAGAACCAGAATGCTTCATTACTTCTATTATGACATATTTATTTCATTATATAAACAGCAAAAATAACAGCTTGTAACAAAATTCCAACTTTAATACTCCCCATCCACGGATACACCATCTTTTTTTTTTTTCTACATTCTGTATTCCACCCACCATATATATAAATGCTCTTAGTTTAAACTTTAAACTTTTTTTAGAAGATAAACTGATCAGTAAATAAGGCATAAGGAAACTAATCAAATACAGAATTGACAAGTAGCCTACCAGTGCCCACCAAAATCGAAGCAACCAATTTCATTTGTGATTAAATAGATGAAATAAAGTAATCAACCCCACATGAAAAAAACTGAAACTTTGCATTTAGATGGACCAACATTGTTCAATTAAGCAACCAACCAAAGAAAACAACACATTCATAATGAAAAAAAAAACAAATCTTTCTTGAGTTGGATTAAGTTTTAAGCAAAAGGGTGTTCATTAAACTCAAAGAAAGATCAAGAAAATGCAGAATGAATGAAATCAGAGTTTTACCTTACAACACAAACTAGAAGAACTCACTGTTAAAACAGAGAGAAGAAGAGAATGGAGATTTACTTAGAGTAAGCAAGAATGTTGGTGTTGAGAAGGTGAAGAGTAAAGTGGAGAAAAATGAGAAAATTATAGAGAAGTTGTGAGTAAATGAGAACTGAGAGAGAGAGAGCTAGAAAGTTCTATTTAGAAGAAACCGAATGAAATGCCCAATGTTCTAGACCTTCTCGAGAGACAGAGAAGGATCGTGAAGGCGGTAGTATTCCGGGTCGGGTTTTAATAACCCGTAGTTAAATGGTATGTGGATTTGGGCCAGGAAGGAAAGAAAGTGGGCCAAGGCTGTGAAGTTTATTGGGATTGTAGCCAATATTATAGGGAAAATTACAAGAATAGTTTTGAAATGGGGAATTTACACATATAGCCATTCAAAATAATTTAATTAGGCTTTATAGATATAGTTTGTTAATTACGATTCGTAGCTACATGTTTGGGGGGGGGGGGGGAGCGTGGGAGAGGGAGGAGAGAGGCGAGCGAATTTGGGAGAGGGAGGAGAGAGGCGAGCGAATTTGGGAGAGGGAGGAGAGAGGCGAGCGAATTTGGGAGAGGGAGGAGAGAGGCGAGCGAATTTGGGAGAGGGAGGAGAGAGGCGAGCGAATTTGGGAGAGGGAGGAGAGAGGCGAGCGAATTTGGGAGAGGGAGGAGAGAGGCGAGCGAATTTGGGAGAGGGAGGAGAGAGGCGAGCGAATTTGGGAGAGGGAGGAGAGAGGCGAGCGAATTTGGGAGAGGGAGGAGAGAGGCGAGCGAGAGAGAGCAATAATTTGTATAATTTGCAACACGTTTGTATAATTCATGTATATTTATATAATTGAGTAATACAAATTTCAGAATTATATAAATATGATAAAACTCGAAATAGCGAATTTATACAAACACAATTTTTTGAACTTTAAACAGTTATACAAATTATTTTATGCAAAATCCAAAAACTACACGTTTATACAAACTTTAAAAAGTTATACAAAAAGATTGAATGTATCTGGTGATAAAACTGAAAAACCAAAGGAAATCACTGTCATAGACATATACAACCATTGTATACAAATACAAATCAAACGAAGAATTGTTAGTTGCGAATTATACAAACGTGACGAATTATACAAATTCAAACCCAGCCCACGTAATTAACGCTTAATGTTAGTCGCAAATTATAATTATAGCAAACTATAGTTATGATGACTAATTAAGTAGTGTAAATTTGCTTAATCGCATAATTTTCCCTAAATTGGGTAGTATTAAATTTTTTACCCTTATTTGTCTATGGCTAACACTTTAAGTTTTAGCAAGTTTTGTCCTAGGGAAAGAACTTTTTTAAAATATATATTTAATCTTTTAATCTTATTAAATAAGACAAAGACAAGTCATATATGTACTAATATATGAGGTGTTTGTAACAAATTTTAAATATATAAAAATAAATAAACTATAACAAAATCTGAAAAAATAAGAATATAATTGATAAAATAATATGGGTACAATTCTGTTCCTTCATTTATTTATTTTTCTCCTAAGTTTTTTCTTCATGATTTGAGGGTTGTTAGTTTATGTATGTCTCGAATTAATAATGATTTGAACTTTATCTCCATGAAAGGATTTGTGGATCTTCTTGAAGTATTTGATCATCAAGAAGAGTGCATAGTTTGATCTCTTTATAAATATCCCAAGATTTTATGAGATATTCAAGATGTTTTTTAAGAAAGACAATATTTGATGTCTTCATGATCTCTTTTTGTGAATACTCAAGAGTAATGGTATATTTCCAATCGAGATTTTGATCTTTGTGAATTCTCAAAACTTGGATATTCTAGATGGAAAGGACTTTTGACTTTTAAACTTGGAGTTTTTCTTATGGGCAAAGTGGTAGGGCGGTTGAAAATTGAATTATAATTGATAATTCAATCGTAAAAAATTGACTATTGATATAGAGGTATTGAATTCAGTGGCGTACACAAAAAAAATTCGTAATGGGTATCACATTTTTAAAATAAGAAAAATAAATAAAATGATGTAACACAATATATTATTATATCTTTTCTAAAAAATAAATAAAAACATATTATAATTCTTTTCGATGAATTTTTACTTTACAAAATGTATTCAAAATAATATCATTAATAATATAATACTAAATATTTGCTTATACAAAGCACCAAATATTACTAAACAAAAAAAGTCGAAGGAAAAAACACATAAAAATGAGGCTTGAACACAAAATCACCCAAAACACAAAAGAAGCACCAAATATTACTAAATAAAGCAAATCAAAGGAAAAAACACATAAAAGTGAGGCTTGAACACAAACATATGAAACACATAAAAAAAAAACACCAAACATTACTTAACAAAGAAAGTCAAAGGAGAAAACACATAAAAAAATTAGGCATGAACACAAAACACACAAAAAAATGAGGCTATGCGGCTTGATCACGCAACTTGACATGTGGAATTTCAACACAAAACTAACTAATCTATATGCATCTTTTATTTGAAGAGTATCACTTATAATATATAATCGTTATGTTTGCTTCTGTTTCATAATTATATATACCTATTTAGTAAGTTTTTTCGATGAAGCAGTGTCACGTGATACCCTTTCATGTTCCTAAATCTGCCCCTGATTGAATCAACAACTTATAAGTATAGAAACTAATTACTCAATTTTCTTATCAGATATATCATTAACTCATTAAGAATAATCATATTTATATTTATATTTTTACCGTTCCCTATATTTATTAGGGAAAATTGTGCAGAATAACAAACATTTAAACAATATTAAATGCTATAGCTATTGTTTTGAAAAATTGTGATTCGCAACAATAGTTTCCCCAAACCTTGTTATTTGTTTAATTTGTATTTCACCTAAAATTGTATAATTAGCCTGATTGTATAAATCAAAATTTTATATAGTTCGGTTCATGATTGTATAAATCTAGAATTTGTATATGCTTACCCTAGCTATTTGTATATAATTTATGAAAAATTCACAATAAATTACCCTGTTTGTATATTGGCAAGTGAAATATACAAACGGAGTTTTGAAAAATTCATTAATGTACAAGTACAAAATTTATATATACTTACCCTATTTGTACGCAAGCGAAATGTGCAAATGGACAAGCAAAATATACAAACCGCGCGAAATATACAAACCACAACCTTTATAGCAAATAAAACTATAGTTATGAAGCACAATTATCAAAATTACAGCTATAGAGCCTTACTATGCCTATTATATTTGCTATTTCTTAATTTTTCTCTACATATTAAGTATTTATTGTAAACAGAAGTTAAAAATCTCATTAATATTCTATTCAACCCTAAAGAAAAAACTACGAAAAGGCTCCCCAAGTCTACTAACGTCATGTGGACAAATTTGTATAAAAAATAAAAATTGTACTATTAATCTATCATTTTTTTTTTTGGTTTTCCACTCGGTGTTCGAAGTCCACATTAAAGCTCTGACAAAATTCAAATCGCGCACTATAGGAGTCATTCGAGAATAACACTTTCAACATAATTTTTTTCATACCTTGGACTCGAATTCGAGATCTCTAATTAAGGTATCAATGTATCATTATTGTAAAAGAAATTTAGCTCTTATCATAATTCAATGCTTGTACAAATACTATTTGTTTATTCCGTTATGACTGGAAATTTTAGTTGGCTTTTCTACAAAATATTGTCAAAAGGGTGTAAAAATAACTTGTTAAACGCATTTCTCGTGGAAATTTTAAATATAACCACTACAAATTGAAAAGAGATGAAAAAAAAAAGATAAAAGAGGAAATGATCTCTGCAAAATGAATAAAAGAAAATGAATTTATTTTTAAATTTGATAGACTCTTTCCGTTATAATTGCTAGTCTTACTTTCTTTTTAATCTATTTAAAAAAGAATGTTTTTTTACTTTTTTTTTTAGCAATTCTTTAATTTTATTTTTTCATATGACATATTTAAAAACACAAGATTAAAGGACATTTTGATACATTCTACTTATCTCTTCTACCTTTAAACCACAAGATTCAGAAATTTTATTTACTTTTTTAAACTTCGTGCCAAGTCAAATCAGAAAAACAAATTGAAACGAAGGAAGTGTATAAAAATGAATATCTATTGTGTAAAACTGAAAATATCTTGTAGTAAGAACATAAAATTGTAAATAAATTTGTAAAAGGCTATAAAATCAAATCTCCAGAGAGATAACCGGTGTGTTTGAAAATGTTTTCCAATTTTCCCATGTTTGGAAAATGTTTTCCAAATCAACTCATTTTCCTCAATTTTAAGGAAAATGACTTCCCTTCCAAAATTAAGAAAAGCATTTTCCAAAACTCTACTTCATCCTTTAATTTTTTTTCTTACCTGACCATACATCGTACCCGACCCTCCCCATTCAAAAAAAAAAAAATTAAAAAATTTCTTATATTTTAAATTTCAAATATATTTTCATCCCTACCCCCAAAACCACTCCCCAGCAAAAAAAATAAAAAATTTAAAAATTACTTTTAAAAAATGTTTCAAATTTTAAGTTTTTTTTACCTCACCCAACCCCTACCACCCCTAACCCCTCCAAAAAAATGCTTTCGAAAATAATTCAAATTTAATTTTTATTTTTACGCCACTCTCACCACCACCCCCCAACAAGGCCACCCCCACCCAAGCCACCACCCCTCCTTGCCACCCCGTCTATTTTTTTAAAAAAAATTATTTTTGAAAAATGTTTCAAATTCAAAAAATTATCATTTTTTACGCCATTTCCACCCCTACCTCCCCCCTCCCCCCGGCGTCACACCAATCATTTTTTAAAAAATGAAGTTGTTTTTGAAAAATATTTCAATATTTTTTTTAAAATTGCATTTTTATGCTACCCCCCCACCTTGTGATCCCGTCAATTTTTTTTTAAGAAATTATTTTTGAAAATATATTTTCTGAGTGAGATCTCAGGGTTGGATTTTAGAACGGGCATTGGAGTCTTGTCCTAGTTTGGGTGTCAGGGTCGAGTCCTAGGTCAATTATCGGGGTTGATTTTCGAATATGAAATTATTTTCCTAAAGAGTATTATTAGTGGAAAAATTACTGAAATACACGTCTTATGTTTCCCTTTATTTCCAATATCCCCTTCTATTTCTAAAAATCTCTAAAATCTCTTATTTCTTTAATGCATTCGAGGTACA